GAGGGAGACGGGTTCGGAGATGTGAACAGTGCTGCCGGAGGATCGGTGTTGTACTGATCGTCGTGACGGTGCCAGTACTTGATGGCGGAATGGCCGAATTTTCCGCAGATTTGGCAAGTGATGGAAGGACGATTTGATTTTCCTCCTCGAATGGGCTGGTTGAAGGTTCTGCTGTCATTGCGTCCCCTGTTGTTGGTATTTCTTCCTCGACCGCGGCCGCGGGTAGCGGTGAGGGCCGTGGAATTTCCAGATATTTGGAGAGACTGCAGATCTTTGATATGTTCGTGAGCAAGATTAAGTTCTTCGCTGCAGAGGAGAGTGTAGAGTTCGTCTAAAGTAACCGGGCGTAAGTTAGTGCGGATCGCGGTTTTGAATGCTTGATAAGTGTTGGGAAGACCGTTGAGAGTATAGTGGATGACGTCTTCAGTGTGGAGCTGCGAACCGGCAGCGGAGAGTGCATCAACTTTGGATTTGACTTCAAGCAGGTATTGGCTCATAGTTTTGTCCTTCATGGAAAGAAAGTGTAGTTCATTCCGCAGTTGGCTGATTCTTGAGCGAGTAGAGGACTGGAGGCGGTGATCAAGAATGGACCAAATCTCGGAACAGTGGTCCACCGAGAGAACATAGGGCAGGATTGCCGGTGATATGACGGAATAAAGTGCTGCGGCGAGGTTTTGGTCTATCAAGATCCATGTATTGTGAGAGGATTGAGACGTGGTGGTTTGAAGATCTTGAGGAGGGCATTGTGCTGTACCGGTCAAGAATCCTTCGAACCCATTTGCGCGAAACAGCTTGAGAACTTGAGATCGCCAAAGAGCGTGGTTGTCTGCTGTAAGCGGGTGAGCAATGACGTGTTTGACATTGCTCATTAGGAATTTTAGAGAGGAAGGAATTTGAGGAGAGAAGAACTCATCGTGGGGGACCGATTGATCATCGGTGGATTGCGTCGCGGAGTCAGGCATGAGGACGGATCAAAAACGGACTTCTGATACCATGTAGATAGACACTTCTTGAGAAGGGAACAGGGAACAGAGTAGAAATGGAGAAGAAGGTAAAGTAAATGAATTCTATTAAATTGTATTTTCAGTACAGCAGGTAGGTATATATAGAAGCAATTACAAGTAACGGTAATAAAAGATAGTACATAAAGAAAGTACAATGTAACAATCTAATCTAAGCCATCCACGTGTATATAGCTAACATGTCGGACTATGGCCAATAGTGCAGCTTTTAGTGTTGCTTTTGTGCCTATATATAGAGGCCTTATAGGTTGTAATAAGGATGGTCAAGCAATAATAATTTTTGCATTCAGCTCTCTCCCTTTCCCCTTCTCTCTCCCTCCTACTCTCTCAAGATCAAGAAGAGAAAGTGCTTCTTCGTCTCACAAGCAAGTTCTAACATCTAATATCAGAGCCACGGTGGTGGTGATCTCGAGGTGGAGGAGAGGAGGTTTTTTGTCTAAAGAAACTGATTCAGATCGGAAGAGGGCGGTGTCGGCTTTGCTCGCGTGAGGGTCCTTCGCACAGGCGTTTGGGCGAGTCGGAGGAGACTTCGGCAGCCGGGGGTGAGTGCGAGGCAGAGCTGGTGGTGCGGTGGTCCAGAGCAGTGCACGTGGGTTTCTTGATCGGGAGGAATAACAGACCGGTGCTGCAAAAGGGAAGCGGGGTCGCGAAGCTTAGGCCGAACGCACTCAGGGAGCTCGGACGCGCAATTGCGAAGCAAGTGGCAGCCGATCATGTCGTCCGCTTGGAGTCTTCAGTAGCCGAGCGGTCGCAGAAATGGATTGGTGCCGCGATAGGCCAGATGCACTTGCAAGGAAATGCAATGTACTCTTCCAAGAACTGAGTTCTTGTGATGGGAGTTGTTCTTTTGCTGAACCAGGAGTTCGGTTTCACTGTTATCAGTAGAACCATTTCCTCTCAAGCAAGATCCGAGCTGGGAGGTCTGGCACTAACGGCGGCAGAGGCAGGAGGTCCGTTCCAGATAGATGTTTCAAGTGGAGAAGGAGGCTAGTATTCGTGGAACGGAGCGTAGGCTTCTGGCGGCATTGGGTTCTTGCTTGCGGTTGTAGGCTTGGCAAGGCTTGTGATTCTTGAAGGTTCTGAGGGGAGTTTGGGAGATTGATGGGTACAGATGCAGACACGTGATTTTGGACTGGATGTGGTTGTTGTCAGTAATTCTTGAAGCCTAGTTGAGGTGATATCCTCATGGAGGAAGGTTCGAAGAAGTGAAGCAGGGCACGGTGGAGATTGTGTGTGCAAGGCTTGGCCGAAGGCAAGGCAGGTTGTCCGCAAGTGATAAGGCGGATCACGGTAGATTCAAGATTATTGTTCTTGATTAAAGATAGGTTTGGATCGTTGAGGTGGAGTTGGCATGTTCTTGAGGAGCATTGCCGGGAGTGCGGGGGGAGGTGCGAGGTTTTGCCGTACACAGGGAGGTCACATAGGAGCGCAGGGCACTGGTGAAGGACACGCAGGGCGCTGGTCGCACGCGGCAATGCATAGCGTGGGATTGTGACGAGCAGGGCGCAGGTAAATGCGCAGGGCTTGGTGCACGGGTGAATACGCCCAGGATGTGGTTGGAGTCAGACCACATGTGTGCAAGGCACGGGAGCGGAGCAGGAGGCTCAGGGCGCGGGCGCAGGGTGCAAATCGATGCACAGGATGTGGAAGCGAGGCACACAGGGTGCTCAGGGAATTGATTGTGTGGGACGCAGTGCGACAGGAGAAGATCTGTCAGGAGATGGAAGCTATTGGCGGGGAAGAATGACGGGGTTGTTCTTTGTGGACAACAGTTATCTTTTTGTGTAAATCTGGGATCAAGGTAGAGATTGTTAGATATTGATCCTAGATTTATGTTTGTATTTTTTTGTTTAGGTTTCTTGTATGAGCATGTATGGCCAATAGTGTAGCTTTTAATGTTGCTTTTGTGCCTATATATAGAGGCCTTATAGGTTGTAATAAGGATGGTCGAGCAATAATAATTTTTGCATTCAGCTCTCTCCCTTTCCCCTTCCCCTCTCCCTCCTATCTCAAGATCAAGAAGAGGATGTGCTTCTTCCTCTCACAAGCAAGTTCTAACATTTGGTATCAGAGCCATGGTGGAGGCAATCTCGAGGAAGAATGAAGGTTCTTGCATCCAAGGAAGAGCGGGGCCTTGCATGGGAGCTCGGACGTGGTAGGTGGAGCCACGGAGCAAGATCAAGCATCGAACCGAGCGGAATTAGACGCGTGCAAACGAACATGGGTGAAGGCAAGCGGGTCAACTCGTGTGGTCAAGGCGAAGCGGCTTGGTGCTGCGATCAAGTCGGAGGCGGGAAGGCGAAGCGGCTTGGTACCGCGATCAACGGAGGCCGGAGCGGCTGGCGTGAGCACAACCATCAAGGCCGCGGGTTATCCACAAACTTGAGGCATTAAACGCGGTAAAAGGAAAGCACAGAGGGCTTCTACGGCTCTTCTTGGTGCAGCAGGTGGATCATGCGTTCAACGGATGCAAGCAGACTGAAAGTTTCATTTGGCTCTGGCAAGCAGGCAATGTAGAGTTTGGGAGTTGTCCGCGGAAGAGATACTCTTGATCTTGGATTCGATCAAGGTGGAGAATTACAGGAGCCGTATTCGAAGACCTGAGCACCTAATCCTTAGTTGCGTTCAAGACCAGTAAATGGATTGTTGAGCTGTCATTTCAGAGAATCCTGTAGAGATGAGGTCATGGTGACATTGGAAGTTGCAAGCAAGAGATTGAAGGTAATGGCTCTCGGTTCAAAGGAACAGTTCTTGATTAAAGATCTGGTTAGAATTTTTTGAGGTGGAGTCCGGGCGACAAAGGGTAGGTAGTGTGATTGAGGCAGTGGAGACAACAACAAGATCAAGAACCACAAGGCAGCAAGATGGTTGCGAACTTGGGATTGGACGGGTGGATCATGCGAAGTCGCAGGTCGGAGCGCACACGGGCGTCCACGGCGATCAGTTGGATTGCAACAAGTTCGAGTTCTTGTGACGAGTGGTTCTTTATTTTTTTTATTTTTTTATTTTTTTTGTAAAACTAAATCAAGGTGGAGATTGTTATGAATTGATTTAGTATTAGGTTATGTTATTCTTGCAGGCTACCACATCTATGTAAATCTCTATAATAGAGATTGTATGTGATGTAATATTTGGGGGAAAATATGAATAAAGCTTAGTTTTATTCAGATTTTTTCCCAAATATTACATCACATACAATCTCTATTTATAGAGATTTACATAGATGTAGTAGCCTGCAAGAATAACATAACTTAAAGCTAAATCAATTCATAACAATGTTTATTATAAATTTGTTGTGGGCACTAGACTAACACTAAATTTAAACACAGAGATAGGAAGAGAAATGCTTCGTGCTACATTTGTCAAGTCGCGGATCCAAAACCTATATCTAAAAATATAAAAAATAACCCACTCAAGTAATAAGATCTTTTGGTGCTAGAAGCTGCTACTGAATACTCTGCAGTTTCTTAAGTGCACTGGAGGGATGCCCATTGCAACAATGATTCTTTGTACCAAAATAAACAAAAAAATAGAGCACAACATACTACACGATACGCAAAATGATAGCTTATTAAAAAAAAATTCAATTGCATGCATCAAAATGTCTTAAAAAACCTCTGCTCGAGCAGGAAGAAAATAGACGAGAATATACTAGCCACAAGAACGTATATTTAAAACGGAGATGAAAGCAAAAGGTCTGAAAGTTACTTCTCAGTAGTCAAGATAGTAAATGAATAAAATCAACATGCAGAATGGTTTGTAGTAAAAGAATTCCATAATCAACCGAATGATTAAGGATTCGTTTGGGATAACTTTCTTATTACTTCTCAAAACAAATTTTAAGTACAAAAAATTTCTCTTTTTATTATAAATCTGTTTTAAGAACCAGCAAAAAAGCTGTACCAAACGAAGCCTAAGTTATGGTAACTGATAAAAACACAATTATTAGCATGCATTGTACATTTATTGCAAGACCTATTTGTTTGCTTCAGTTTAGATTTTATAATTCTAAATGAAAATGTCTTTAAAAATGTATATTTCGACAGAATACAAAATTTAAGAATGTTATGCATCGGAAAGTTGATTTTCATCTTTTTTTCAGCAAATACTGTCACAAGAAGATAAAATTCTCACAACCGGATAAAAACAAAGATGATACTTGCATTACTTGATACAGAATTCAAGGTTCCTCTCAGCTTAAGAAAATGTCCTCTTCAAAATGATAGGGCAGCTCTAGAAATATGTTTCTCCACATAAAGCAAGGACCTTGATCATAAAGGTAAAGCACGTCCTATATCCAAAGCATAAAGCAGATGTCAGGACAGTGGAGAGCTGATATCAATAAAAATGCATATTACTAAATCACAACATCAATTTATACGAGATACAGAATTTCCTCAAAAAATTTTAAAACCACATGAGAACATGATTTCGAATTGATGTTCTCTCTATTTTTTATATATTTTAAAAAAATATATAAATATATGAAAATGTCTCAATCAAGAATCTCAAAATTTTAACTTTTTGAATAAGAAATTTTTATCACAAATTTTTTTAATATTAAAAATAAGGAAGAACATAAATTCAAAATGGATCAAAAAAAAAATAATGACCACTAACAAAGTATTTTCAATTATTTTAAGAGTGATGTTAGGATTTGAAAATATAATTATTGGAATCTTTTCAATTCATTATTTCATTGTTTATGTATTTGATTTTTTATATCAAAAGAGTGACAAAAAAGATCAGCATCTCTCATATCAGCAATAGTAACATGGTTACAAGATTTCTTATCTAATCACATATTTGACGCATTTATAACTATCATCACGGCATTACTTCAATTCCCTCTCAGCGCCAATTCTTTCTAGCCCTAATTAACTAAGTGATTGATGCTAACCATCTCAGAGTATATCTCCCAGAGCAAATTTAGGATGAGTTGCAAAAACAAGCATACAAAAGATCAAAGTTATGTAGTTCATGACTCTCAATTTAATTTATTTTGATGCAAAACTTCTAAATAATGATTTAAAATTTTCAAATATAAATTTGCAAGAAAATCTAAGATTGAATGAATGCTAACATGGCAATCAGGATTCACACGCCAGAAAGAAAATATTATAAAAAATTTGAACAAATGTCAATTACACAACAACAACAAGCCTTCATCCCACTAAAAAAGGTCATTATAATACTTTGAAACAAATCTTTTAGGTCTTTCTCCATCTTGCTGAACATAGGCCGAATCTAATACATCTACTCTTTTAACATGGTGAATAGAAGGAAGGCTGAAATTTTAAATGCCAACCATCTAACACTGACTCTCTCTAATCTTATATGCCACTTGAGCAAACTCCAACATTTTCATGTGCATACTCATTTCACATTCAATCACACGTAAACCAAAACTTGAAAAGAAAGAAAAGAGAGATAAACGTGAGAAACCATTGAAGAGTTACTATAAGTCTCAAACTGATACAAGGAGTCCCCAAAAAGTGTTTACAAGATTTGCATCAAACTCAAAGAAATCACATGCAATTAGCACATATAAATTTGATTAGAAACATATTTTTCTTGAATTATTGAACCATTGAACCACAAATTACAGACCCTCTACTCAAGAGTCAAACCCTAAAATTAAGTCTAAAAAGACCTATAATTGGAAATTTCTCATAATCCCTAAAATCAAGTCTAAAAAGGCAAGTTTTGATTTCTATAAACTTGCAAACCCAAATAGCAAGTTTTTGGACACTATCAATCAGCGTAGGACGAGATCTCATAGAAAAAGTTTCGAACTTCAAACTCTACATACAATCTCCAACTGAACATCTACTCCTTGGTAAGATCACATAGTCATGGTCTCAAAAAGGAAGTATGGTCTAAGAACAAATCAATTTTCACGTTCAATTTGGGATACGCATAGCATTCGACCACTCCCAATCAAGATAAAATCAACCCCAGAGGGATTCAATTTGACCTACAGAAATGTTAATGTCATTGAACAATGCTCTGACAAACAACCTCATATAACTATCAATCTCTTCCACACAAGTTAATATTATTAAATAATGCTATGATAACAACATCAAATATATCAAACATCCTAAGTGGATTTTTCTCAATATGTTTCACATAGATTAACATCATCAAGCAACGCTCTAATAAATAATATTTGATATATTAAACATTTTTTTGTAGATTTTGTTGACCTTATTATTCAAGGTCAATATTCCTTGTGCCGACTCTTAGCACTTAGGTTTTCGTAACCTAGCATAGACGTCGCCTATATGATTTCCCTTAGGTGGATACCTAATGATGTAGCATGGACTCAGCTTTTTAATTCGACCCATCTCGAGTTAATCACTACAACTTTGACTTTTCTTACCTTCCTGTACTTTTCTTATTATTTTATTTTATGCATATATAATATAATTAGAGGTGAGAGTAAGCAGATTTTTTTCTAAAAGCCTGTAAGATTGAAGCACTGCATATTAAATATTAATTCTACTATTAAATTTAAGATAATCTGTCAATTAATATATGCTTTCCTATTTAATTGGATTTGGATGGTAATGGAAATAAGAACATCATCATAATGCTTTCTATAGTCTCATTAAATAATAAATTCACATCAGTTACTGTAAATGTAATGTAGCCCTCTCAAGTCAATAAAGTAGATTTCTTATTTATCTAATTGAAAGAAAAGTAAAGTAAACTTTCTTTACCTTAGCTCTTGTATTAAAAGTTTGAGTTCATTAAACTTTGTCAGGGTCATCCGTAACTTTCGATAGCATTTTTATTTTATTATTTACATAAACCATGCATATTTAGTGTGAAAATCCTATATAACAATCATGTTTCTTAATGACCTAAAGCTTATAAAATTGTTTAAAACTGAAATTCTTTGAAGTTAAAATTGATAACGACATGCATTCAAATATGTGATATCTGTTCATTACTAACTATTTCAAATAGGTTTTTTTCAATAAATAAAAATATCATATTATAAATGATATGACAGTAACGTTTGTATTGCATTGACTCATTAATTCATTGTTGTACCCATATTTGCTTCATGTATCACCTATGACATTTGCATACACATAAACTTAGAAACTCAAATTAAATGCACTCAATGCTACTACATGTTTCTTTCGATCATTTGTAAGGTACATATCTAATACATATTTTACAGTCTTAATTTGCATGAACTGCGAGGAACATTATCAATCAACAAAGCAAAGGGGAAAAGAAACAAATGCATCAGTAGCCCCCATCTAACAGGGTAAGGGTGCTACAGGCGAAAATACCGGACATTGGCTCCCGTACACTGTAAGTATTCTAAAACTTAGAAAGTCCTTAGGAGGCCCTTGGTGTGGTTTGTGGGAACCCTTCCCCTTTAGGCCCCTGTAGTAACTCCAATTTTATTTTTATTTTATTTTAGATCCTTAAATTCCTTTAAACGTGCGCAATGTCCTAAGGGTTAGTGACTTAGTGATAACAATTTTTTTCATTTCATATAACATTAGTGACATTTAAGGATAAAAATTAAGGACTAAGTCTTATAAAAAATAAACTTATGATGCATGCACCTTTTAGGGAGAAAAATATTAAATATAAAAAACCTAGTAGCACATCGCTTTAGGATTAATGAATATCTTTAACCTAAATTTAATCAATTCAAAATAATAATCAAACAATTATTAAAATTCTCTTTTAAGAATTAGAAACTACAACAATAAACAATAATTTCAACTAATTTAAACCAAACTTATAAAACGATAAATAACGTATATTTGTTTAATAAAAATAAATCAACCCTTAAACTGAAAAATAAAATACCAATGTAATTGAATATTGAAATCACAAATAGAATTAACATAATTCGATAAAATATTAAAATCATAAACTTATAACCAAAATAATCTTAAATAATTTTTTAAAGAAAGGTTAATAAATTCCAATCAATTAAATAATATGAATAATAAAAAATAGAAATAAATTTAAAATTTTAATAAATCATTAAAAATTAAATAAAATATTCAAAAATTTAATAAATCATTAATAATTTAATAAATCAATTAAGGATTCAATAAATCATTTAAAATTAACAAATTATCGAGATATTAAATAAAATCCTTAAAAATTCAATAAAACATTAACACTTTAATAAATCATTAATAACTTAATAAATCATTTTAAATTTAATAAATCATCTAAAATATAATAAATCATAAAAAAAAAAACTCAGGAAATCATTTAATTAAATAATCTAAATATTAAAAAATGGTTAATTAAAATACACTAAAGAACAAATTCTATTAATCAACCTTATGAATTAAAATTCAACCTAAAATGAACTCCAAAATTATTAAAGGTGCTGAAACTTAAACCTGAACATAAAACCTCATTTGACGTTTCAACAAACTAAATTCAATCAACTAGAAAACTTCAACCAACAACTGATCTAGGATATATCTAAACCACACAGTCTACTGCACACACTTATATTTGTTTGCTAAGACAACCGACTCTGGCTTTAGGTTATACAGGTATTTATTTTTTTGCTACTGTGTGACGGGCTTTCTGGATTTTTACTGCATACTGTTTGTGATTGATGTGAGTACTTATTTACTTTTAAAGCTCTTTGGGATATGATTTGATTGACGATTAGATTACTCATAGGTTAGGAGCGATCTGGTTGTTCATAGAATTTTTTGCAGGTAGCCACACTCGTGCAAGGCATTAAAATGGGGGTTAATTAATTAATTATTATATAAATGATATATGTACTTCAGTTGTTTAGCCCCCAAATAAAAAAAGAGATGCCAATTATAGCTGGTGAATTCAATTTAAATGTGAATATATAACTGCTTGGGAATGACTTTATTATAAATGCTTAGGATAACCCTACATGTGGTCTAGATTTTCTTTTTCTTTCTGGGATATAAATGAAATGTAAATGTAATTTGTTAAAGTCAAACGTTGTGAAAATGATTTAGAAGTGGGATATCACATCCAACCTAAATTCCAAAGAAAAGAGAACGACTCTTAGGGGAGTGTTCCCTTTTTATTTTGAAAGCTAGGTTAAAATTATTCTAATATCCAAAGGGAAAAGAAAATACCCCTTCGGGAATGAGTTTCTTTTCATTTGGATATCCAGGCTCGGCGGATCCAAAGAACTCGTCGAAGAAGAAAAGATGAAATGAGGAGATGAAAGGAAGAAGACGAAGAAATGAAGATAAGAAAAAAAGTATAACCCATTTCAAAATCACTTGCGTCAGTCTCAGG